TTATTGTCAACTATGGCTCTGGACCATAGATAGCTTGTGTACTTAACAAAAAAAAAAAAAAAAAAACAAATTGTTGACATTTGACGTTGAAAAAAGATACATAGAAATGGGCAAAGGTATCATGTCCAAAATTAAGTTAAAATAGAAAGATTCAGTTAATTCGTAAAATATTGTGTTAGAAATAAATAAACCCGAATTCTAATATTGGGAATAAAAAAATATCAAAAAATTTCTTTACGATGCATTTCAGGTTTATAAAAAATATATATCAATAATTAGAGGGAATATTTTTGTTGATAAATTTGGCAACAAATCTATAGACAACTTTTGTTAATTAGTTGTTTGGTTACAGTTGGTAAAGAAAGTTTGTGTCAAGATCTATTAATAAGGTCACCAAGGTAACAATCGAAATCGGAAAACAGCTATTTTTTCTCAAGTCTAATTTAACAAATTTCGACTTTGTTTACGTTTTCATAATGGAAGTCAATTCACAATAATGCATTTTGACAGCAAACTTGAGAGGTATCGATTTTCAGTTGGTCTCCCTGGGTGACCTTATTTATAGGCCATAGTTTGTGTATATTAAAGCTGCTCAACCACGGTAACTCTAGTTCAACGTTCACCATACAGGCGCCCGTGGGCGCTTTGGGAGAGTACCAATACAATCACAGTTCTGTGTTCGAACTCAACATTACTCTCGACATCGAACATGTCGTTTGCTTTGCAATGCTTTAACATATACGATCTGTGCCGAGAGAGCGAAAACTACTCTCCCAACCAAACTATGCGTGTGTCCAACACAATCATAGCAGTTTGCATATGTATTGTTGGCTATCCCTGCTCTAGTTACACTGTTTATACACCCGTTCCCTGCTTTCTCTTTATTCTTAACACTTTTCCATGGTACATCAAGATCTATTAATAAGGTCACACAGCTAGCGAAGTTAGATGTTTTTTCCCAAGTCTAATGTCAACAATTTAGACTTTGTTTACGTTTTCAGAATGGAAGTCAATTCACAATAATGTATTTTGACAGCAAACTTGAGAGGCAGCTGATATCCAGAAGGTCTCCCTGGATGGCCTTATTTATAGACCTTGTACTCCATTTAGCGCATGATGCAATAATAAGGTGATGTATCAAAACAAAAACAAAGCTAATTATACGATTAACTGTCAATGTCAAGGCCTATAAATAAGGTCACCCTGGGAGACCAGCAGTATATCTGCGACATTCAAGTTTTCTGTCAAAATGGAAGTCAATTGTGAATTGACCTCCATTATGAAAAGTCGAAATTTTTGACATTAGACTTGAGGAAAAGCTGCTGTTTTCCGATTTCTATTGTTACCTGGGTCACCTCATTAATAGATCTTGGTCAAAGTGCATAGTTTCGACTTGAATTCGACGTGCAATGTTGCCATGAGAAATATTACTAGATAAAATTTGAGAGATAGTGGAATTAAAAACAGATGGTTTTGTTTTGGTACTCTTTATGCAATAATACATAAAGACTTGTATCATATGATCGATTCGAATTAAACTGAAGGAACCCGTTTTTATTCTAACCCAGGAAATTCCTATTTATTTTGCTTTCACATACTTTTTCCACACACTGTATTCGTGTAGTGTACTCTAGAATAAAAAATCCCGAAATAATTTCTATATTGAACTTTGTCGTTTCGTATAGATTATTTTGTGGCTTTTTAAGCCGGTCAGACGCATCTACGCCAATAACTGGATATTTTGGATTTGATATTTTTATGTATAATATTCATTATTTATGGTTCTAATAAAAGGCAATGCATGTGGATGATAATGCAAAGTTAGAAATTAAGAGAGTTTTTAAAAAGGTGAACGTTTCATTCAGCACGCAGTGCTATGCGCTTACTAAACTTGTTTATGTTGCGGTGATCCAGAATTTGTATGGCTAAATATCAAAAATGATAATACAACCATTATGCGAATGGAAAACATTTAAGCTGCAATTTTTTATTCGGACTAAATGTCACTGTCCATAAAACAAGTTCAATGCTGAACTCCATTCAGGACAAGAAGAGGGAATTCTGAATATTTAAGAATCCCATAAGAGCTTCGCACAGTGCTCTTTTAACATTCTAATGGTTTTGATGTTGTGTCCATTGAGATGTTTTTAAGTAGGTCGTCACTACTAAACCGGAAAGCTGGATAATCGTACTGGAAAGTGTCATTCTTCGATCCAAGAAGGAACACTTCTCCGATACATTCCTGTACCTAATAGTACATTTATATAATTTTGTAAAATGGATAAGTACAGTTGTGTCGAAAACAGTTAGTTGAGAATTAAAATGTAATGAAGATGTAAACATGTCCCAGTTAACCTCGACACTATATTCCTAAACAAGTTCAGAGTGTCGACGTCTGGAAAACGACTGGAAGCACCTTGATATTTGCGCCGAAGGTAGAAAAGGAGAAGACAAGCCGGACTTGCGATCATAGGATGAAATATGATGAACGAATCGACTTCTGTCGCCATGTGGATTATGTGCTTTCAAAGGCCAAAAATATGAACTTTGCCTATCAAAACTCTTTCGAATGCTAGGTGGACTTTATTCGGAGGTAAAGTTGCTAATATACAAGCAAACGAATAGACTAATTATCACCTACTCCTTTGTTGCATGGCCAGACAAATCATCAGCTCAAATGGAAAGGTTTAGAATTTGGGAGAGAAATATATTGGCATCATGCGTAGGAATAAGACCAACACTGGATAACAATGGAATTTATAGATGGAATAGTGGAGCCATACCTGGAGTGCAACGAAGAACTCTTTTCTATACTTATAAGAAAACACCTCCCCCTCCAGTTTTACTGAAGCTTCGATACGAAAGATTCCCATACGATGAAGATGACCATCTGATGTACTATCATCGGAGGTACGACAGATTTGACGCCAACATTGAGCCTATATACAGTGGTGGCCACAGAATTAAAACATTTACTGTGGTAAACATTTTTTGATCAGCCCTCGATTCGTTTGAAGTATTTTTGAAAATTTTTTAATTCAGAACACTTCGATATACTGCACTTAAGAGATTTAGTGTGGAAATGGAAAATTATTTCATGCAATTTTTCCATAAATAACGGTTTTTATGAAAATACATCGACTTTGAAGTGGCCATATAATTAAAACATTGTGTAATTTTTTACTTTACTGCATTTTTTTTTAATATTTTTTAAAAAAGCTCTTTAATTTAGTTAAATTATGTAAACTAAGCACCGATAAAATCATTTACTGATAAAAATTTTTGAAAAAAATCTGTAAAATCTATCAAAATTGCCAACAATTTGTACAGTACACCTAACATTCAGAAAATCACCTTTATTATAGAAAATAAAGATCCGAATGCACCAGAAATTGCTAGAATTAGTAAAAAACAATAAATAATTCTCAAAATAAATAAATATTTGAAATAAAAACTCAAAAAATGGGAATTAACCTAAAGGAACGATTCAATTTCAATAGCCTTTACTGAAGAAGGCCGGAATATTTTTGCAGTATGTGAGAAAATATCGATTGATATTGGTATTTATTATATCAAATCGATTGTTCGAGTAGTACAGAATATATTTAATCAAAAAATTTATCAGTCACAACAGAACGAACAGAGATCAACACCTATGTTGACGAGAAAACGTTTCTGGTACACAGCAGCATGTTTGATGGTTAACTCTTGACCCTTCAAATCTATTGAACATGACAATATTTTTCCAAAATAATATTTTTTGGAGAGAATAATGCCCAAATGGGCATTATTATTTTAGCCTAAAAGAAAGAAAAATTTTACAATTTGACAAATATTTAAAGTCTTGTGTTGAGCATCAAAAATGCTGCTGTGTGGCGGAATCTTTTACTCGTCAACATAGGCATTGATCTCTGTTCTTTCTGTTGTGACTGGTATATTTTTTGATAAAATATATTCTGTACTACTCGAACAATCGATTTGATGTAATAAATGCCAATATCAATCGATATTTCCTCACATACTGCAAAAATATTCCGGCCTTCTTCAATAAAGGCTATTGAAATTGAATCGTTCCTTTAGATTAATTCCCATTTTTTAAGTTTTTATTTCAAATATTTATTTATTTTGAGAATTATTTATTGTTTTTTACTAATTCTAGCAATTTCTGGTGCATTCGGACCTTTATTTTCTATAATAAGGGTTATTTTCTGAATGTAAGGTGTACTGTACAAATTTTTGGCAATTTGATAGATTTTACAGATTTTTTTCAAAAATTTTTATCAGTAAATGATTTTATCGGTGCTTAGTTTACATAATTTAACTAAATTAAAGAGCTTTTTTAAAAAATATTAAAAAAAAAATGCAGTAAAGTAAAAAATTACACAATGTTTTAATTATATGGCCACTTCAAAGTCGATGTATTTTCATAAAAACCGTTATTTATGGAAAAATTGCATGAAATAATTTTCCATTTCCACACTAAATCTCTTAAGTGCAGTATATCGAAGTGTTCTGAATTAAAAAATTTTCAAAAATACTTCAAACGAATCGAGGGCTGATCAAAAAATGTTTACCACAGTAAATGTTTTAATTCTGTGGCCACCACTGTATAAGCCATATGACATATACGAAGCAGATTTATAGCTTAATTTTATACTGTAATCATTAAGTATAATGTACAACTGAAATAATTTTCTAAATAAATGGCAATTTTGAAATGAAATGAGATTTCAACCTATCAGGAAGTTCCCGAGACTGCGTGGTGAAATCACCAGCGGAGAAAGAAGGCAAAAACAAGAGCTGCTGTGGGCTTTCGAGAGTCGATGAAAGTGGGAATTGTCGTGACGAATTTTAACAGATCCGAAATAAAGAGAAAAGTATTTTAACCGTGAAGAGCTCTCGAGCGACCTATATTGAAAGCAATGTGAGTTATGGTGAACTTATGAAGCCATAGGGGATATAAACCTGATCGCGATGGTCTCAACCAATCTTTCCTCCACACTGCTTAAGGAACCTCGACTAAAACTTCAGCGCCTCTCCAGGTATTTGTAGTACTACCAGCCGTACCGGAGCAGTAGCAGAACAGAACCAGACTTCAATCGTAGTAATTTAAGTTTCTAAATAAAGCAAAATCCTCTGAATTTTAAAACTAAAACTTCATCTTTTTACTCTCGGCCACTTCATATCCCAGCTACCGGAGGTCGATTTTTGTCCTCACTCCCTCAAGTGAAAATGAAGTGCACAGGCATCATATCCAGAAATAATTTCGCTCGGGCTCCCTTTATCTCCGAGAGGTTTGTCCATCCCCAAAAGAAGGGTTAGGAACACACACTGTTGTCACCATTCCGCACGATATATTGTCGACTGTTTAGACTTGATTAGGCTCTAACACTTTTACAGAATTCAAATATCATTTTTCTTTCATCCTCCCACTCATTGCAGAACCATCCATCGATACATCCGATATAATTGCGGCTAATTGTTGCTTCAAATTGACAAATAGACTGAGCAGAGACTCCTTGTGGTCCATTTTTCCAGCTGTACTCGCGTTAGATTAGATGATGTTGAAAAGAGTGGAATATGGAAAAGAAAAATAAATTAGGAAGCATGGGGCATCTACAAAGTAGATTTTCGATCATTTCGACCTCTTCTTCATCTTCACATAGATATAGGGAATATCATCCCAGATATAGGTCACAATGTTTTTTGGTTATAGCGGAAACCAACTTTCCTCAGTTATGTTTCATATAGATATAGAGGTGAGAACTTCGCAGTTTTATTTGTGATTGAGTAGTTTTTGTTCTAGAGGATTTAATGGCCTTGAATACGCCATTCACCACAGCTTTAGAAAACTACTATAGTTGGGCGCCATTTTCACTGCGTCAATCTTGTTATCGGTCATTTATTCCGAGACTCTCCTCTCCTCATTTACTAACTGTCCGAGTTAGTTTGCTTATATCTGTTCTAAAAAAAAAAATTACCACATGATGCAAATATTATACCCTACCCACCCACCGCGGTACATGCAAATGTGATGGAATTTAGTTGGCCCTATTAATTATTGAGAATCGGATCAGGTTTAGATAAGATAACTTCCGTGTGAACACTGCGTTTGTCCAATTCACATGCACCAGACTAGAGTTGTGTATTGTGGAAAATGGTTCTGATTTAGATGATACTACCAACGTTTGTCCGCTTCACACGAAATGTTATATAGACTTCCAAATTAGTTCTATAATGACGTTTTTGTAGCAGCCCATTTGCTTTTACACAATGGGCTGAGGTGACAGACTTTGGCCGAGCTTCATAATATTTTTTAGAAAAAAATCGAAAGAAGCCTACGCTTTGTCGAAGGATACGAAGTTTTATTTAAATTGTTACTCTCATAAATATTAATTTGTGTTGCATTTAGATTATAAGAGCAGCTCTGGGCGTTTTTCCAATATTTTCCGTATTTTTTTAACTAGTTTTACTATGAAGGTTAATTATTAGAATATTTGTATTCCCAGTATTTTGTCTCATGATTAGCTATGTGGCCCTCTACCTTAAGCACACCAACTGTATTCGTGTGTTATTGTGAATGATCACAACAATAATATTATGAATATATGAAACACCCTGTAATTTGTCAGCAGCTGTTCTTTGTTTATGGAATAATCTCACATTGTTCGAAGAATTTGTGTTGTTGCTCTCTGGTTGTTGACCAACCAAGTCTACACCGTGGCTCCACGATGGAAACGGAAGCACCTCTCGAAGCTACAACAAAAAGTGAATTCTTACCGGGCTTAACATTTCAAACAACAGTTCCACCACCGTCAAATGATGAAGACCAATCAGTGCCTTGTGTGAAATGTGAAAAAGTCTTTAAATTTCCCACATCCCAGGATGATTATTTGGCTCATTTGTTTCTCGCACATCGTTTGGTTATAGCTGATGTAGCGGATATTGCCTTGCTAGAAGAATATTTAAAATTTTGGCGTAAAGAATTTGAAAATCATCCATTGGAAGAATATTGCACCACAATGCTGCTGGATCAGCTGCCCGATGGAACACCAGCCAAAAATGAGAAATATTATCTGTTGAGTGATGTACTGCCCAAAGATTTTGAGCTGAGAGCTAACCTGAAGAAACAGCGGCTTGAAAAGGCATTGGCCCAACATCAATTTGAGTTAACCGATCGAACATTTAGCCGGGAATGTCTCTACTGTCGAGATGTTATCACTGGCTTGCGATCGTCATTTTTGGAACATCTTTTTACGAAACATTTCCTGCAATTGGGAAAGCCAGAAAATCTTATATACATCGATGAACTATTGGCCAAGGTCCAGCATAATTTAGAGAATCTAATTTGTTTGTATTGTGAGAAGGTATTCAAAGATCGGGTAACCCTGAAGGAACATATGCGTAAGAAGGCCCACAAGAGGATAAATCCAAATAATAAAACTTATGATAAATACTTTTTGGAAAATTATAAAATACCCGATACCACAAAGGGCCATAATCATCAGCAGCAGAAGAGGGTGCAGAAAAAACCCAAGGGTAGAGCAGGAGGAGAACAACAGCAGCCGGCGCAACAACAACGAAGTGCAATCAAGGATAATTCACGATCTTCATCGCAGCAAGAAATCGAAAGTGTGGATTTTGAACGTTTTGCCCATCACAGTGAAGATTCCGATTCGGATTGGTCCGATTGGAATGGTGAGGGTGGTGTCCAACCCATTACCTGTCTCTATTGTCCACAAAAAGTTGATGATTTTCAATTATTCAAAAAACATTTATCACAAACGCATAGTGTGGATTTTGATAAATTACTGGAGGGTTTGAATTTTTATCAAAAAATTAAAATTGTCAACTATGTTCGGCGGCAAATGTGTCTGCTTCGATGTGTCACTTGCGATCAACGTTTTGAAAATCAAGATTTGCTACTGCAACACCTTCAAGAGGAGCAGCATTTTGGTGTGGGCACACGCAAACAATGGGATAAACCTGAATATTTCTTTCCCACATACGAGGATGATGGTCTACTGTGTACGCTGGATGATAATCCCAACGATGATATGGATGAGACAGTGGTGCGTATTATATCCGAAGATCCTGTAGCACAAATTAATAAAGATGCTGAGAAGCTATCGTTGGAAAATTTCAATTTTTTGTAAGAAAATAAAAAAATTATAGAAAAAATATATTTATAATGAAACCTGAGCAATTATGGGGGTAAAATGAAAAGGTGGACTGGACGAAAAAACAAAATTTTAGCAGATTGGATAAAATTTGTCGAAGGTGGAGCTTAAAAGGAAAAATACAAACGTCGTTAATTTAAATGAGTTAAATGAAATAAAAAGAAAAAAGGATTAAATCGGATAGAACAAAGGATTAATAGGTAGAGCTTTAAAGTAAAAAAGCAGAATGTCGTTTAGTACGGCCGGACCGCGGGCCGAAAAAAATATATAAATATATATTGAGAAATTAGGGGGGTAAAATGAAATAAAAAGAAAAAAATTGTCTGAATTGTGTTTAGAATGTGTGCTGTACGAATAAGGTTGAAGGTCGATATTAAAAGAAAAAAATAAAATAAAAACGTTAATAAGGCCGTGCCAAACTTTTTAGACCCTCCACTACGTTATGTCCATTCAAAATTTCTTATGTCGATAGGGACATTTATATGGGCACTATGTTATTGCGTTATGTGGTAGTACCGAACACAGGAAAAAGGGTTGGAACTTTTATGTGGGGATTATATAAATATATTTAAAATATCGAATATGTAATGGTACTGTTCTATGGGTGCTGTAAACTGGCACTGATAATGTTTGGTAGGAAGATTTGATACCTCATAAGAATTTGAAAAATCAAATTAGAACGAATTCGGTTGCAAAACCAAAAATAAATGGGGTTCTATTATAAGGGGGTTAACCGGAAACATTGATAATTTTTGGTAGGGAGATTTTCAACTCAATGAAAACCCCAAATTTATATTTACAGCAAATTTGGTTAAAGCACCTGCCAAAGCTCGTCAAAATAACGAAATTTGGGATGTTGCTTATTATGGGAGATTCCCTAAAAAGTGAACCAATATTGATCATATTTAGTAGGAAGATTTGAAAAGCCATGAACAATTGAAAAATCAAATTAGAGCCAATTCGTTTAAAAAAGGTGTGTCAAACCCCAAAAAAATCGAATAATGGAGGTTACCATTATGTAGAGTGTACCCGGAAACATGGACCAATGTTGATAATTTTTGGAAGGGACATTCCCTACCCTATGAGAATCCAAAATGTAAAATTACAGCTAATTTGTTTAAAGCACGTGTCCAAGCCCCCCAAAATACCGCAATTTGGGATGTAACGATATATAGGGGACTGCTAAAGAAAGCTCCCCAAAATACGGAATGTAGAGTTATATGGAGGATTACCCAAAAAGCATGAGCCAATGTTGATAATTTTTGGTAGGAAGATTTACTACCATATCACAACCTCAATTAACAAATTACAGCTAATTTGATTAAAGGCCACGCCGAAATATCCCAATAATAATTTTTGCGTTGTAGTTTTATATAAAGTGGCTTTCCCAAAAGGAATGCAAAATACCAATTTACCAGATTATCTAAAAAGTGGAAAAATCCAAAATACTGATCATTTTCGGTATGAAGATTTACTACTATACCACAACCGAAAATAACAAATTACAGTTAATCAGGTTGAAACATGCACCCAAAACCTCAAAATACCGAATATTGGTGGGCCGTTATATGGGGCCTTCACCGAAACATGGGTCAATAATGATAATTTTTCTTAAGTAGATCTGATAACCAAGGTGAATCCAAAAATACCAATTTACAGCAGATTTCGTTGAAAAACGTACCAAAATTCCACAAAAAGTCGAATAATCGGAAGTACCGTTATAAGGGGGGCTACAGTAAAAAGTGGACCAATATTGATAATTTTCGGAAGGAATATTTGATTCACAATGAGAACTAAACCTAGCAAATTACAGCCAATTCGGTTGAAAAACAATTCAAAAATTTCCATAATACCGATTATTTGAAGCTAACGTTATATGGGAGCTATACCAAAACATGGACCAATATAACCCATTTGCAAATACCAACCTTTCTAGGAGTAATAAAAATCGACGCCTCCGAACCATAGTATGCTAAGTCGACTTAGCGTGTTTTAAAGTTCTTTACGCAAAATTTAAATTCTCTGAAATTTTGGTAATCATCTATTATCAAAAATGTATTAGCATGGCACGTAGGATTCAAGAAACTTCTATACTTTGGTTCTACCTCTTTTTCAGACGCTACCTTGAAATGTCAGTGCAAAATTTTAAAGCTCTATATCAAATATAGCGATCTCTATTAGGGTGATCGCTTTACGGACGCTAACCTGAATTGTGTACCAATATTGATAATTTTCGGTAGGAAGATTTGATACACCATACGTTTAAAAAACGTGTCAAAAATTCCCATAATACCGAATATTTGGGGGTTACCGTTATATGGGGGTTATACCAAAAGGTGGACCGATATACTTCATTTGCAAATACCAACCATCCTAGGGGTAATAGCAATGCCACTGCAAAATTTCAAAACTATATCTCCAATATGACGTGCATTACAGCTGGGATAAAATGTAGAGGAGGTTTAGGCTTTATCCAACCCATTTCAATAATTCTTTGCCATCTGTACAAAGACCGCTATTAAAGTGAACTCCGAAAAACACGCTCAAATTCCGTTAGAGTGCTCTAATATACCATTAGCGTAAATTACTTAAATAATTCTTTAAAATTGTAATACCCATTAAAATATCCACCTGTTTTAAAATTTTCCGATACATTTTATTTCATTTTGCACAACTTCATAAAAGGTACACGAATTTTTATCTGTGGATAGGTGTGTTCCAGAACATGCATAAAGCATATATTAATCGAAATTGTTTTCGATTTTTTCATAATAATTTATTTTATATTATATTCATTTTGGAACGGGAGCAGATCTTATTTATGTATTTATTTTCGTCTACAAACATTAAAACTAAAATTGTAATAAAAAATTTGAAAAGAAGAAATACAAAAACCCCCTTAACTTAAATAGCAGTACCACGTTCCAAATTCTGTTTAATTTCAGCCGTATGTTCGCCATAGAACCTCTCCAATTTCTTATTGAATTTGGAATTCCTTTCATTGATAAAGTCCACATCGGCATCGTCATTGTAAATACGCCTTCTGGAGTATTTTTTACGCCTATCGATTTGTTGTTCCAAATCTTTGACCATATTATTAATGGCCGCAGGGGTATCCTTAACCAAACCATGTATCACCGTATTGGGGCCACCATAAAATGCCTCCCCCAATTCTTCTTTCTGCTTTTCATATTTCGACATATCACGAGCTGGCATATTTTTTACTAAACGATTATATTGCCTGGCTGTCTGGGCCTCAAATGTAGAGAAACCCAAATCAGGATTTTGTTTCTTTTTCTTCTTTTCGATTTTTTCAGCATCAATGGCTGAGACTTCGAGTAGCTTTAAACGATCATAATCGAGACCTTTTGCTTTGGCTTCTTCGCGGGCCTTTTCATCGGCCAATATCCAATCGGCTTGTCTTTTGCGTGCCTCCCAATTGTTGGGTAGTTTCTTGCGTGCATCTTCTGCTATGACCTCTTGATGATTGTGGGTACGTGCTTCTTGACGTAGCTTGTGTAGATTTCGTAAACGCTCCTTACGTTCTGCTAACTTTTGGGCAGCAGTCTTCTCGGTTTCCATGTTTGGGGGATTATAATTTAATTGTTTTATTGGGATATTTAATAATTTTTAATGCGTTTTTCTCTATTTTGCTTTTGTTTACAAATAATTTACAATTAATGTGAGAGTAATGGCGTTGTTGTTTTTGACATATACAGCGGAGCAAATAACAGGGTGACACCGAAAAATATCATTGTAGTTGAAATGTTCATTCACAATAACTCTTACTGGTGGTTACATGTAAACTGTATTACATTTACAAAGAGTCAATCGTTGTATTATATATATTTAGAAAAATACAGATTCGACCCTTTCTTCGAGTGAAATCAAACTTGAGTTTCATACCCACATGCAATTTAAGGTAAATAGAAACCACTTCTGTTCGGAAATATCGGTTACGGTTGATGGTCGGTATTTTGATTGTTTTGGTTATATGTTTCTTTCTAATACGGTATTTACATTAGAACTTGTTACCGGGATAACCTACCTTATGAGAAATTATTTGGCATATATTCAAAGGAATTGACAATGTAAACCTACTGGGTTAACGAAATCCAGTACAATGTAAACGTACTTCAATTGGTTTTAATTTGATTTTTTGGTTTGTTGTATGGTAGTAAATCTTGCTACTAATAATTATCAATATTGGTCCACTTTTTAAGTAAGCTTAAGGTGTTTCAACCAATCTATAAGTAACTCCATATATGAGATACTCATTGAGTAGAAAATGTCCATGCCAACAATTATCAACATTGGCCCATGTTTCCGGGTAGCCTCCATACAATCGTAACCTCCATTATCGGTATTTTGGGGAGTTTGGGAACGTTTTTCAATCGAATAGGCTCCAACCTGATTTTTTAGGTTCTCATGGGGTGTCAAATCATTCTACTAAACATGATCAATATTAGTTCAGTAGAAAAACTCCCTTTTAGAAATGATCAATATTGGCCTATGTTTCCGGTTAGCCACCATATTTTTTTTGGGTTTAGGTATGTTTTTTTTACCGAATTGAGTCTAATTTGATTTTTCAGATGCTCATGGGGTGTCAAATATTCAAATATTCCTACTAAAAATGGTCAATATTGATTCACACTTAGGGAATCCCCCATATAACGCTACATCCCAAATTTCGGTATTTTGAAGAGCTTAGTCCCGTTTAAGTATTCCAACTAGAGTGTCTGTAATTTTGTATACTATTTTTCGGATCATGAATATCCTACTATCACATAATTCCATAAAATAGTCTCCATTTAAATGTTCCAATTGACTTGAAGAATTTTGAATGCATTTCACGTGCTGAAGGGTATACAAAAATATTCAGCCCGGCCGAACTTTTCAAAATTCGTTTGTCTTCGTATGTATTGTAGAAACGACTCAGACTATTTGGGAATTGGTTACTAGGGCGTCGATTTCGCCTAAACCATGGTCTAGTTATATGGTTACCCAGGAAAATCAGTCCTAAATTAGGCTTATGTGAATAGGCTTATGAGACGTGAATAACGTCTAAATGTTTGACATTTAACTTGGGAGATTACAGTTGTTCTCCAATATCTACCTGGGTAAGCTTATTAACAGACCTTGTCCTCGACTCTCTTAGATTGGGTAATTTCCTCCAAGAAACTCTTCCAAAACCAGTTGACTGTTCTCAATTCATTCGAACAATCCAATTTTCAATGGAATTGATCATTAAAAGTTGTGTTAAGAACGCATTTTGTAAGCTGTACTGTATTTCCGCCTTAGTAAAAGGAATTACACTGTAAACAGGGTGTTTCATAAAAATATAAATTGCATCATTCACAATAGAACAAACAGCTGTTAACTACATGGAGGGAAAATATCTGTCTTGGAAGTCCTGTTTATTTGCAAAATCTGAATTAAAAACAATCTCTAAATAAGAGTAATCCAAATTCGATGTGCAATGCAACAATTTTCACGAAAAGAAAACTTCCTAATCGCCAATACCCTCAATTGTGTGCCCTTCCTGTTGCAAGGTCATTCCATTCTAATAGATCTACGCAATGAATGTTCCGTTGCCGGTTGTATTGATAATGCTGATGGTCATATGAATATTCATTTAACAAATGCCGTGTTTATTAATCGTATGGGTCAGCAGGTGACATTCGATCAATTTATGGTACATGAGCGAATGATTCGGCAAATACATTTACCGCCGGACGTGGATATGTCCAGTGATATACGAATGTGGTGTGATAAAGGTTGTCTTAAAAGGCCATTGCGTTCAAATGCAGGCGGTAAGGGTCAGAAGAGAACGTTCAAGCAGAAGAGAGCGCAGGAAAGGCATAAGGAAATTCTACAGGAATTGGAAAAGAAGCGGACGGAGGAGAAATAAGGATGTAAGAGAATGATATTCTTTGTAAATACTTGGTTCTTATTATGATTGATTAATTTTTGCTGTTTTATAGAATTTCATATAGGTATACTCCTCAGAAAAAATAATACAAGTCAGCAAGAGAACTTCAATGCTGTTCCAGAAACAATACCAGCCCAATATAATAAATTTGAAGGCAAATTACGATGTAAAAAATAGCCTCTTTATTGTCCTAGATTAACGAAGTAAGGACTTTGTCGTTGGATTACAGCTATATCGGTTTTTTATCAGTATTCATACTTCCCGGAATATATGAACCTAAAAACTTCATTAGTACACTTGCATTTTTTCACAAAAATATTTAAGAACAAAGAATTTACAACACAATTTATTGGGTATCAGAATTGTCCCCTATGGGAATATGACAAAATGTGATTTTATTGGTTTTCAAAGTTTTCTTTTAATGTGTGTATTTTGAAGCGTCCATACAAGGCGTGGATTTGAGAAGAAAATCCGAATATCATCACGGATAGTTTGAAGAAAATATTTCCTGTATTAATGAATAATTTTTCTTCAATAAAATTCTTTTGAACACCATAAAAAATAACTAATCAATATAATCGGAGTCCATCCAGGGGAGAAGCATCTGTTTCGACAAAGGCATAGTTAACTTCATGATGGTACAACTGTCTCGATTCCTATTGGGCAATAATAAATAACTCATAAATGTTGGGTTCCTTTTATTATTTTTATTTATTTATATTTGTAAAAATATCCTTAAAAATATTTGAACAAATTACTATATAAGTATGTAGGTTAATGTAACATAAACAATCAATCGCATTATATTTTCCTTATATTTATATTTTTATCTTTTTTGTCCTCATTGATTATGTATAAAAAATTCCACTATATTTATAAACAAATTGTTACAATATACCAAAAGAAAAAACAAAACTTAAAACATACGAAATAATAGCAAATGAATGAAATGATTTAAACAAGTACAATAGAATTTGAAATTGATCTAAAAACTATTTATCTATTTCTTTCAATTGCCTTCAAAGAGAAGAATGAATAAGAATTTTGTTTAAAATTAAAACAATCTTGGTTTTCATATTTATGATTTTAAACAAAATAAGAGGTAGCATGAATTAAAAAAAATGTAAATTATTGTAATATAAAAAAAACACAAAGTTAAACAAAAAACTTATCCAATAAAACGAACGTGTATTATCATTAATATTAAGGGCAACTAAAGTGGGTGGTAGGAGAATATTGTTGGTAAATGTGTGTGTATTTTTGTAGGTGCTAGAGTATGTGTGTGTTTTTGTTTTGTAATGTAATATGTGAGTGTGTGTGTATTTTTTAACTTATAACCAAACCAAAAAGCCCCACACTAACAGGGCCAACACCAATCCAATTTTAATGCCACTCAATAGACCAAATATGGCAAAGAATATCAAGAACAAGACAACGAAGCCAGCATAGTAAAGGAAATCAAATCTATAAAACAGAAAAAAAACAATAATTAAAAATAAAATTCAATTTTATTTATATTTTATACAACTTACACTTTCCAATATATCCTATGCCAGGTGGTGGTCTCTGCCGATTCCCTGAAATAGAAACGACGAATACCGATAATAACTCGGGCCAAAAACTCTGTCCAATCACAACGACTAGAATCGAAATTGTAACGTTGACGATCCTTTTCGTGCACCACACTCATAATACGCAGAGCATTTTTCAAATCGTAACGGAAATTCTTGTCCAAGAAATAATCGAAAGCTTTGCCACCACGATAAAAGACGCGCATATATTCATAGACACTGTAGGAGAGGAAGAGAGAGATAAATTAGAAATGTTTTTTCAAAAGATAATTAAAGATTAAAAATATTAATTTAATAATTAAAAATATAATTAATTAATAATTAATATAATTTATCTATAATAAGGATATGACGTAGACAAATACTCTACATTATGGAGAATGCCTAAATATTCATCGATATTATTTTGATAACGTAGATAAATTATCTACGTTGTTTTATTGACATGGATAAAATAATTTATCTTACTTTAAGACGGTATATAATTTATCTACGCTATTTTAATGTCTTAGATACTTTATCTGCAAAATTTGGATGGCGTAGATACCTTCTGCATAATTTGGATAATGTAGATAATTTATCTATATACTTTAGATAAAGTAGATACTTTATCTGGATCATATAGATGACGTAGATACTTTATCTACATCATTTGGATGACCTAGATACTTTATTAAAATCATTTGGGTGACGTAGATACTTCATCTACATCATTTGGATGACGTAGATACTTTATCTACGGCATTTTTATGAAATATATACTTTATCTACATAATTTTGATGACGTAGATACTTTATATAAATCATTTGGGCAACATAGATACGTTATCTACATTATTTGGATGATGTAGATACTTTATCTACTTTCTTTAGAAATATCATATCCCCATCATAGATAATGTATCTAATTTAAATAGATAACTTATTCCTTATCTGACAACTTCAAATCACAAATACTTACGTATGCTGTGGCATGCCAACGGAAAACAATTTCTCCGGTATGGAATAGACCATAGCGGGTAACATATGGAACAAATAGAAGAAGAGATTATAACGCCAACCATTACGCAAAATAGCCTTGGGTTTCCACACAAAACTATTGGGGGGATGTTTTTGTACATTTTTATTGATGATATCACAGAATTCCGATAAGGTGAGGGGATTCACTTCACCCGATGTGCAATGGATAACTTCGGGTTGTTCAATTTTACGCGTACCCACATACCAACCCATGACCAGTGAGGAGTTGATAACATAATCACAGGGTATAATGTCGATGACAGCTGAGGCGCGACCCTTCATGGTGCGGAAAATGCCCTTAATGAAACCGGCCAAGAAGCCCAAATGGCCGGAGTTGGCATTGCCCACCCAACCGGAACAGGGTTTCTCCCAGGTGCCATAAACTGAAAACAGAAACAAATTCATTAAATACAATTAGATAAATCTCTTCTTTTTCATCTCCACTCACCAATTGATGGCCTTACAATGGCCACTGGCATATTTTTCATCTCAGCCATAAGCAAATTCTCCGACAAGTTTTTCGTAAACGTATATGTATTAGGATGATCATTGGTATATTTGACAGTTTGTTCTTCGGTGAAATTTTCCCACATCGAATCATCTTCGGCCATTTTCATCATTTCATAGGGATCACATTTCGATTTATATACCTCCTCCAAGATGAGACCACGATTATTGCTGTTACAGAAGGCGGTCGAACAATAAATGTATGCGGACAGGTTTTTCAATCTCTTAGCCAATTCAATGGTACGCATAGTACCGGTTAAATTAGTTTTAATTGCCGTTCTTAGTGGTGAACGGAAGCGAATGGTAGCGGCACTGTGATAGATAATATTCACATTGTCAATCAGTTCTTGCAAAATGTCATCATCAAAATTGAAATTCTCTTCCGATAATTCACCGACGACAGGCTTCACCTTGGCCAATGTTTTCTCATCGTATTTTTCAAAAATCTGGAAATACAAATAAAAAAATAAAATTATTAAAAATTATTAATATTAGAAAGTAAACTATATAGAACAAAATATGTGATAATTTCTAACATTTAGTAGTTGGAGTCAAAATCGGGCGTTTAAGCCATTGATGGTCAAAACTTCCCAAAATCATACGTTAGCGTAAATGACAATGGTGGGCAAAATTTCTCTTAAAAAATGTTTAAGCGAAATTAAAAACATGAATTATTCTTCGGAATTCATTAAATTTAATATTTTTAAATCATAAATAATATCCAAGGGAGTTCAAAAAATAAATGCATTAACAATTTTTCGGAAAAAAATTTCATTAATGTTTATTTTTGTTTTAACATCAAAAAATGTTAAGAGAACGCATCAACGCTGGTGTGCAAGTCTGCCCAACTATGGTAAATGAGTAAAAATTTACTCTCAATTTTTCTCTTTTCCTCAGAAATTTTTGGTGATAACTTCTCAGTTAAGTTCACGCCACTAACTCTGAATTTAGGCATGCACAACTCTGCTTTAAGCACATGTGTGCTCTCCTTTGAGAATATCTCCATAATATCTCATTTTTATATCTGCCTAAAGAGTAACACGTAACTGTTGGTAGTGTGAGAGAGAGGGGCATTATGTTTAAAAGACTTAGGACACAAACTTTACTTATTGGAAGAGAAAATGAATTCTCTGAGGAGGAGCTTGTTAAAGACTTAAGATACGAACTTTCTATGAATATATTATGAGAGAAAGAGAATTCAATCTCATTCAAAGGAAAACAAAAGACTTAGCAAACAAACCTTTCTTGTGATTATTTAACATAGCATATTTTTGTTAATTGAAAAGAGAGACTACTTTTTGAGAGAGGCAAAGAAAAACTAATGATATAAGCCACAAATCTGTTCTATTTATAAGCATTTAATATTGAATATTTTGTTTTTTTTTTAATACTAATTTTACAAAATATCCAACATGAAAGGGAAAAAGTAAAAATCCGGAATCTTTTTATTTGAATGAAGACTAACGATTTAATTCGATAAAAAAATAGTTAAATAATGTCGACTATGATAAGCGAATATTTGGTGGGTAAGGCATGAAATAGCTCATTATATCTGAGACATTTGTTTTCATCAAAACGGCTTAGAAATTTAGTGTAGACACTTATATTTTTTCTAGTATGTATGGTACTAAATGTGTTCACCTATCTTCAGATTTTAAGTTTTCAACGGAGTTGAATGTAAAACGCCTCACGGATATTTTTGGAACAGTTGTAAACTTTAGTTGCTTAGTTAATTTTGATGATATGCATGTCCGATAGACCTCATACAAATTTTTTTTTTCGATTCCATAAAAATTGCACACAAAACTGCCTTAGTCGGATTGAAATCGATATTGTCGGTCCTGTCTGACTTTTGTACTTTTCTTACTGATTTTGTGTAATGCTTTTTCATAATGGGTCACTTTTTGATTACTTTTAGGGCCAATTTTTCTAACATAGAAATAAAAATTCCTCTTCCAAAATATATTTATACTATGCTGCGGCCTATTCAATCCATGTTTATGGATATAAAAAATTGTATTTAATGAATCTCATTTATTTGAAATTAAACGGTCATAATTGCGGTATTTAAAAACAGTTCACTTTATGTTTATAATTATTTTTTGTTAGGATAACAGTTATTTAAATGATGTTTACAAATGTAATATGCTATTATTATAATTATGGTCATAAAAAGAGCTATAAAAAGTAGTCGTTCGAAAAAAATCGAGACAAGTACACATTTACTTGAAATTATGAACTCTAATAAGAATTATGTTTTTATTTCATATTCATAAATAAAAGTAAACGTCTTGCAGAATTTGAGATTTGTTAATAAATTGTTTTTGTATTTTTTTAGAGTTTTTTTAATTAAAAAGTCTCTGGACTGACACATAGATGACGTCACTAGAATTTCATTCACTTTCAGAAGCTATAGTAGAACCCGAAAAAATCAATCATCAAAATAATTTGTCATTCTAGAATCACGTTTTACTGTAGGCCCAGAATCCAGCTGAAGTGGATGCTATTTTAGGTTCTTGGTAGGTAAACAATCCACAAATAGCCGATTAGCGTATGGGGCTCCATATAAGGGCCCACCGATTTGGGTATTTTCACGCCATATGACAGAGCGTACACAAGAATTTGGTTCTACAAAATTGCATTGGACGATATTTCTGCTAATGAATACAAATAATAACCCGTAAGGAAAGTAGTAAAGTCGGGCTGGGCCGACTATATGATACCCTTCACCACTTTGGATATATTTAGAAAATGACATGAAATTGAACTAAATTAAATATGAGATCTGTATTTATATGTGAACATCTATTTAAGAGTCGTATGCGTACAAAGGGACAAATTTATGTAAACAGATTTATAGTACAATTGATACACGCTATTCGGTATGCCGCACTGTTTAAAATTTAATCTCAATCAGACAACCGTTCGAATTATATATGGAAGCTATGTCTACATCTGCACCAATGAAAAAAACAATACGCAATAACGTCATTCTAGTCTCAATTTTATACCTTGTGCAAAAATGTCGTGTCAAGCATACGGAGTTAAGTGCACCATTTACCTAAAATCGGACGAAAATATATATGGGAGATATATCTAAATCTGAACAGATTTTCATGAAACTTAACACACATCATTGTAGACTTAATTAAGTAGGCCTTCGCCAAATTTCGTACAAATCGATAGATATATAGGGACTTTGATACACCATTTACATTAAATCGGACGAAAATATATATGGGAGCTATATCTAAATCTGAACCGATTTTCCTGAAACTTACCATTCATCATTCTAGACTCAATTCAGTACGCTATGCCAAATTTCGTGCAAATCGAACAATTTATAGGGACTTTGGTGCGCCATTTACCTTAAATCAACCGAAAATATATATGGGAGCTATATCTAAATCTGACCCGATTTTCTTGAAACTTAGCACATACCACTCCAGACTCAATTCAGTACGCCATGCAAAATTTTATGCAAATCGAAAGAAATATAGGGTCTTTGGTGCCCCATTTACATAAAATCGGAAGAAAATATATATGGAAGCTATATACGCAAATCTGAACTGATTTCCACAAATTTCAATAAGGTTTGTCCTTGGGCCAAGTAAATGAGTTGTACCTAATGTCATTCAATTCCAGCCTCAATTCAATCCAAAGTAATATACGATTTACATAAAATCGGACGAAAATTTATATGGATCATAAATACAACCTGTACTTTGTCTACGATTTAACATCAACAGACGGACATGCATAAATGGACTCAGAAAGCGATTCTATGCATATTCTCAAAAGGAACCATAGGTTTATCTCGTGTCCTTTTGCCTATTACAAACATATGCATAGAGACATAATACCCAGTACCAAAGTGTGGTGAAGGGTATAAAAAGTGTCAGTAGGTTTTGCCGACAGATATATACCCTCAGCCTATGGTTTATTCGATTATATAAGGTACATGTTTTTTATCAAAGAGGTTTCAGATTTAATTTTGATAAAATTTACATGTTTTTTAATCTTTTAATCCTTTGTGGGCGAAGTAGCAGAAGGAATGGAACAATGGTTCCCACCATCGGACTTGATCAAGGCTCGGTAAATATAATAGATTGTACAAGATTTGGTTCAAATCCGACATTCCAATACCCTGATATTGGATTTGTAAATAAAAATAAAAATATTGACTATTTGTGGGGTAGGTACCGGAAGGAATAGACCAACGGGTACCATCTTCGTATGCTCGGTAAATATAATAGGTTGTGCAAGGTTTGGTTCAAATCGGACATTCCATTCGCCTAATATCGGATTTGTAAATATTGAAAATTTTGACCCTTTGTGGTGTAGGACTTGATCTAGACTTGGTAAAGATAAAGTTTGATTCATCTACGACTATCCGACTATTGAATGATATTATAAAATATTTTTTTTGCACAATTTTGATCATTTTGTGGGGGATGTACCAGAATGAGTAGACCGATATTCCCCACCTTCGAAATTGAACTCAGTTTAGGAGAAATATTGTCATGTCCAATGTTTGGTTGAAATCGGTTACTTGTTTAGAGAGTTATCATACGCACCAGTCGGCCAGACAGACAGACGGACGGACATTTGTAAATCGACTCCAAATTGTCACTTATAAGTCCCTTAAAAGGCACCCACTATTATTGGCAACACAACTTTTGGTTATTTCAATAGATAACTGTTCGTGTCTTAAGTCTTTTGTTTTTTACTTTTAATTTCAAATAGAAAATCTTTAAGGGTTTCCTTTACCTTGTCATCTTCGATTCCATAAATTGCAGCAGCTTCAATCGAGCCTCAAAACACTAAAAAAAGTATAGCATCTTTCTACCTAAGCGCCACGACTGATGAAATAAACTTTATATGTTCGTGTCTTAAGTCTTTTGTTTTCTCACGTTTTTTCTTTGACTTCGGGGAGCTTTTGTTCAAATCTAATTTGTCTCCAGTCTCAAATGGGTTACAGATCATGAAATGACACACACACACAGTTATACAATTACTAAAGTTTGTTGTCTAAGTCTTTTTGTTGAATAAAGGGATAAAGTTTACAGCTACCTATAAAACCCCCCTTTTACAAATTTAATATTGAACAATATATTTATACAACAAAAACTTGATGATGATGACGAAGAAGAAGAAGCTGAGGCGATACAAATTAACAAAGATCACATAAATTGATGCAACTCTCCAAAAATAAAAAAGTAAAACAAAAAAGGGGGAAATCAGACAAAAAAATTGGGAAGTTACAAAGATGCTGTGACTTAAGTAATTTACTTCATTTTGTATGTGTGTGTTTGTGCGAGTTTGTATTATTTGTTGTTGTTGTTTTTGTTATTTATGTTATTATATTCTCGTTTGTTGTTTTTTCTACTGGGGTTTGATGCTATTATTGTCATTATAAAATTTGTTGTCATCGTTTGGGTTAGATAATTGTGAAATTTTAGGCCTCAACATCTCATAGGATGATGGTCAGGTGGATGGGAGGTGTCTGCGTCTTGTATTTCATAGCTTAATTTTATATTTATTTGTGTTTTATAATTTTTTGTTGGTGGGGAGGGGTATTTAAACAATCAAATCAAATCACATCACATGGTCTCATGATAGCCAAAGACCAGACATCATGCAAGGTTAATTAATGGACACTTTTTTGGGTTGGGCATTTGAAAAAAAAAAAACGAAAACTATTTCGTGTTTTTAACAAAGACATGATTTTTTTATTTGAAAATAAAAAAATCCCTAATAATTATTAACAAAACTTACCGGTTTGGTTAGTAACTTCTTGACACGCTGATTTGGATCCCAATTCTTTTTGCCGCGCACCAACAAATAAATGGTGCCTATATCCGGTGTGGCATCCAACAAGGCCTCGATAAGGACGGTGCCCAAGAAACCGGTACCACCGGTAACGAAAATATTTTTATGGGCAAAGAATTCGGCAATGGTGCCAGCATCATTGCCATCTTTGGTAATGCTGGGTGCTTTCAGCTCCAGATTGTGAGTTCTGTCATGATCGGTCATGACAGCCATATTGTAATTGATATTTGTGGGGGGAGCCAATTTGATGGTGTTTAACTAAACGGGGTTCTGAAAGAAAGAGAAAAAAACAAAACAAATTAAAGAGTTAATAAAGAGGAAAAAATAAAACAGAATTAAAATCAACAAATAATTAAAATTAATATATAATATTTACTAAATTATTTATTTCCGCTTTCAACACCCAAAAGAAACCAACCTTAGGAAACAATTTAAAATATGATTTTAATTTTTATTTCCTTGGATTTTTTTTTCAAAACACCACAAAACCAAAATCTATTAAAATTTTTGCTGTATTTCTTATTCAATTCTATTGTGTGTGTGTTGTAGTTTTTGGTATTTGCTTTTGGCGGTGACCTTCTCATAGCTAATGATTGCTAATTTGTTAACAAACAAATTCGTCTGCCATAGCTACAGACTTAGTTAATATGGATATTTATTTATTTGATGGTATGGTATGGTGTGTGTGACTCAGTGTGCGTTTGCTTGGTTTCTAATTACACATTCTTTAACAATATAGTGTCTCGTTATTTTTGTTTTAAGACAATTTGAAATCTCAAAAAAAAAAAGAAATAGAAATAAATGCAAGTCATGTGGAACCATAAAATGTGAAATAATTCTATAGCTTCCCTAATAAATTGCTACTTAGATTGTGTCAAAAAATTGAGATTACTTTATGAGGTAGTAATAATTATCAAAAATTAACAACCTCTCTAATTGGAAAACAAAAAAATCATGTTAATAAATAACCTTAACAATAATCTCTGGTAAGCAAAATCACAATTTTTTATAAGGGGTCCGATATAATTCAACTATATAATTATACCCGTCCGTCTGTCCATTATAATTTGTAAACACGATACAGGCCACAGTTATGGACCAATCTTCACGAAATTTTGCATGTATGATGGGTTCTGACCAATTGTTTTTGGGAAAGATGGGTTAATATTTAGGGGATTAAATGGACCAAATACTAAATTTTTGTCGGTTTTTCTAGTCGCTCCAGAGGCCGCAATAATGGCCCGAACATCGTGAAATTTTGCATAGAGAAGGGGATTGGGCCAAAGAATAAGCATGCCTGTTTTGATAAAGATCGGTCAATATTTAGCGGGTCAAATGGACCCTGACTTTTGTGTGAAAAATGACAAAATTTGTATTCTATACCGTATATATTTGTCCCTGAAGGACATAGACCCGAGAAGTTGATATTATATCCAAGAGGAGTGGTTGACCTTTAAATTAATACCAATTATATTGCTGTATGTGCTCGTATGTGGGAGTTACACCTAAATATTTACAGGTTTCTCCGTATCCGCATGTTATTTAGTAACCCATTATCGCTCTACAGAGCGGAACTATAGCGCTGATCGCTTTGAAATGTTCCATAAGGTTCCAGTTATGGTCAAGGACAACGCCTATAATTTTCGGTGATGATCAGATAATAATTTTGGAATGAAGTGGACCGAAAACTTATTTTTTCTGTTATTTTCGAATCGACACAAATGCAAGCCGAACATCACAACACAATCCACGGTGAAGGGAATCTGGACAATAGATGTACTGAAGAGGTGCTGTTTACCTCTAATCGGGCAAGAGGGTGCAAATATCACTAAATGTTGCCCAGGCTCGGAATAAACATGCGCAGAAAATTTGAGTTCCGTAGTAGTTGTGTAGGGTATCGTATGGTCGGCCCCGTCCGACTATACTGCTCCGATCACTGGTTTTCCTTGAGGATGATCTGTCCTCTATGGTGTAGACACCAAATTGCAAAAAATCGATCTTTTATATAGTATACCTATTGCCTACAATTACGGACTAAGGCGGATTAAATTGTGTTCGTGTCTTAAGTCTTTTGTTTGTCTCACGTTTATTTGTCGTTGATAAATAAGAGATAAATACAATTGAGATCTATTTTGTATGCTTTCTTTAATTCCGTACAGTTTATAGATCATATACTGCTGTGGAGTACGTTGGAGGGTTTCCATCATTATACCTTATACAACTATGTTGTACAGGCCACAGTTATAGACAATCGTCACGAAATTGTGCATGTAGGACAGGTCTGGCCAAAGAAGGAGATGAAATGGACCAACAATTTTATTTTTGTCTGTGTTTCTGGGGCCACAATTATGACCCGAACATCCCGTAAATTTTCACGGAGAGAGAGAGATCTACCAAGGAAGAAGCATGGTTATTCTCATGATAATGGGCTATAATTTAATGGGCTCATATTTAGGTACCAGAAGGAAAGGGCTAATGGGTCCCACTCTCGGACTTGATCCAGGCTTCGAAAAGATAATAGGTTGTGCAATGTTTGGTTCAAAGCGGACTTCCAATTCACCTGATATTGGATTTATAAATATTGAAATTTTTGACCCTTTGTTTGGGAGGAGCCAGAAGGAGAAGGTATACGGGTACCACCTTCGAACTTGATCTAGGGTTGATAAATATAATAGATTATGCAAGGTTTGATTCAAATCTGGCATTACATTCGCATTCGATTTATAAATATTGAACATTTTGATCATTTGTGGGGGAAGTACCAGAAGTAGTGGAGCCATGGGTATCACCTTTGGACTCGTTCGCTAGGTACAGATAGTAGAATTGTTCAAATCAGATAGTTCGGTTCAAATCGGATAGTTCGTTCGTTTAATATTATAAAATTATTTTTTTTTTGCCCAATTTTGACCATTTTTTATGGGAGGTATCAGAATGAGTGGACCGATATTCCCCATCTATGAACCTGAACTAAGTTTGGAAGAAATATTACGATGACCAATATTTGGATAAAATTCGGTTACTGCCTTCGACAGTTATCGTGCGCACCAACCGGCCACACAGACAGGTGGACATTTGTAAATCGACTTCAAATTGTGTGAATTGGATTTGGTCCCAAGAAACATGGGGTCTAAAACGAATGTTTCCATGAGGCAAATTTTTCCCGTAGCAAATTTCATATACCTTCAGTAGCCATAAGGTGGTGGTGCTATAATTAGCTCCTCAAGTCTGGAAGATGAAAAAAGTTTTACATGTTCGTATCTTAAGTCTTTCGTTCTCTCACGTTTTTATTAATTGTTGATAATTGCTGGTTGCATTTATCATTGCGAGGATTATAATATCGTATATACCCGTTCACTTATGCAAATAGAATGAGGTTGAAGAACCTGGAATACCGAATTATGGTCACGTCGGTTCGAAATGTGCTTTGTCTTTTGGGCGGGGCTGTTAAATGTGGTGGTATTTCAACATATTAAGTTTTATTGAAAATTATCTACGAGGCAGGCTATTAACGTTTCAGAATCCGATGTACCAAATAGCAGCTACTTCCATAGAAAAATGTGATCGGGACTTCAGAATAATTAAAATGTAAACTTTTATGTGGGGACTATATGAAACATTGGTCCTTAATGAATATTTTCTACACGTTATTTAATTGTTAAGAACGCGGAATTTAGTTAACGCAGTGAAGTTTGTTTTGCTTTTATTTACGGAATACAAAAAGTTGCTGTTTGGTGACCTCCCATCATCGATTTTAAATTTCGAATAATGGGAGATTTTTTAACAAAAGAGAACAAAATACATAAATTGTATACTTGGGCTGTCATATCAGTATTGGACCCAAAATATCGATTTTTTGGATTAAATCCCGAAATAATGGAGTTGATTTTGTGGCCTCTGTGCACAATAACTCTTTGAAAAAAAACATAGCATTCCGATTTTATTCAAACTATGGGCATTGTAAACAACCATAATTCAATCAAAAAATGAAACCCATAGGCCGTCTTCTAGTATAGTATATTTTCACGAAAGCTCAATGTTGTTGCTCAATTTTTGTACTCATATGATCCCCACCATAATGCTATACAAACTAAAAATCTATAAAGCACTGGTGTATAATCGCGACTTCTTCAAATATTATAATAAATTGACAGATAGGCATTTCCATTTTTTACTTTCTCTATAATTTTAACCTGCTATCCCTTTCTATTTTATTATTCTTCTTGTTATTTTTTTAGCTGAAACTGACAGTTCCACTTCCAAAAATATTTCATTTTACGTTATTACCCCAAAAATTGTTCTATGAGAACTAACGTGAATTTTATTATTTTTTAATTAAATATAACGTTACATTTTATTTGAAATTTTTAATTGCACCCCATTAGATGACATATTGTTCATCAACAATTAAGAAAAAAACTTAACATTCGTTACACAAAGTGTTAAGATTTTATTACACAACACACAAAACAAAATAAAATATATATTGACATTTGATTAATGATTCCCACACACACATTATACGTGGATACGTAATAGCATCGTTAAATGAAATGAGTTTTGTTTTATTTATTTTTAAATAGATGCATGATTTATGTGGCGTATTTACAGTAACGTAACTGTTAGTTACGTTGGCCGTTGTTAGTGTCATGAATTTTAATATATAATTTTTTGAAATACATCTAAAAATGTACTCCTATGTAAATTTTCTTTTTATTTAGGTGTATAATTATTGTAAAGCTAGAGTATATTTCAGCAAAACACGTTTGTGTCTTAAGTCTTTTGTTTTTAATTCGAAATGATTCTGTGTAAAAATCTCTAGGAAAATACTTTATTAGTTTCTAGTTAATTGAATGAATTCCGAACTAAATGGGAACAGCCAAAGGGCTAGACATATAGATGGCGCTGAATATGTCATCAGCTGTAAACAGAGAAAGATATCTCCCTCAATTTGAAATTATCTATCAGAACTTTTAATATCTAAAAATGTACCTTTATACAAATTTACAGTTACACATGATGTATATATGTAGGACTCTCCGGCAACACACGTTTGTGTCTTAAGTCTTTTGTTTTCTTAATTAGAAATATACATAATTCTATGTAACAACCTCTAGGGTTTTGTTTTAATTTCTATATAATTAATTCAGAACTTAATAGGAACTGTCTAAGGGCAAGGCATATAGATGGCGCCGAACACGTCTTCAGAAAGTGTTCGTAAGAAGAAGAAGAAAGCTATCTCCGTAAATTAAAAATTTTCT